CATGGTTCTAAATTAGGTGGTTCGTCGCCAAAAGCCCTCGTGTAGCTGAACAGAGAGCGATGCTAATATTCCCTCACTCACTACTTGTTTACGCGAAGTCCTGGAGGGTCAGGGCCATTACAAATTAAAAAACTTGAAAGATGAAATAAATAGAATTATTACAAACATATATCTTTTTTTATACAAAAATAAAACTAGACAAGTATTTTTTAATCCAATTCTTTCATTATCTCACACACTTATTTGTTTTAAGGAAACATATTATTGCTATTAATTTGCTTAAGTTGAATTAATGTTATGATCTAATTCACAGCCTAAAGAATAATTTTTCAGATATACAAGAATTGAAACATTAAAGTTATATACTCTGGCTCTAATGTTGATGTAATTAATGTTATACTAAGTACTAATGTAATTAATGTTATAATCTGTTCTATCCTATAGAGAGCAGCACATTATATTATACTTCTCATATTTAAATAAATTGGTCCATTTTTTCTGGTAAAAATGTATTTCGCATTTTCTTTTCCATACGGTAATGCTAAACAGACTAAGTATCCTTTTACGTGTTAAAATGGAAAAATAAGTATTTATGACATATTTCTTGAAATTTCAAAAACTCAATATTATTAACAAATGTATGAATTATAATGTTGCAAATTTTTGTGAAAAAACTTAGACTCCGTGCTCCGTGTTTATTCCAGGCTCTCGTATATTTACGAAGAAAGCCTTACAAGAGGACAAGGAATCATTTATTATATTATAGAATCTTTCTTTTCTCTAACTCTCTTCGTATGATTCCAAGACAGGAGGCCGCGGTAGCCTAGTGGTCAAGGTATCGGATCGTGGCTGGCTTGTCACGAGTTAGAGCCCAGTACCACTAAAGACCCGCCGTGTAAGGGAGCGATGCACGTTAAATCTGTCGAGAGCTCAAACGTCCTCCCGTCGGTGTGGTGTGGTAGTTAGGATAGGAGGTGCTAGCTCAGGTGTCGTCCTCGTCTCTTGACCATGGTTCAAAATTACGAGGTCCATCAGCAAAAGCACTCGTGTAGCTGAACAGTGCGACGCTTATATCCACCCAAGACACACAGCCTAGGTAGCCTGCAGGTTACAGATGTGAATTTGATGGCATTGGTCTCAATTTTTGATTTTAAGGAATCCGATTACCCTAAAATTGGGAATTTTGGCAAAAATTGACAATTTATTTTTATTTTTATTTCATAGGCCATCTTATTAGATTTATAAAAATACCAAGTTTATTATTTTCCATTGACTAGAACAAAAACTGCAAGTGTTTTAGTAAGGGCAGATGCCACTTCTTTAAGAAAGATGTCATACCTTAAAATACGTTTTACTCGAAATGTGTGTGTTTTTTTTTGTTGTTGAGAAAATGCTCAAACGGGGACAGTGATTGCTCAAAAAGTTTTGAAAATAATTAACAGAAATTTTTTGAGTGTGTTCTGTATAAAAGTAGAAGTGTTTTAACCTTCAGATAGATTTATCAAAATCACTGTTTATCACAAAATAATTTACAGCCCCTTATGTGAATATAATCACTGTTTTCTTAAGCAATTTCATATAATAACTAAGATAAAATATATGTGTGTGTGTGTGCTCTAGTTTTTTAAAAAATTAAAATATCTCTTATACAGAAGGTCACTTCAAAAATGAATAGCAAAGTAACACATCAAAATTGAAAAATTGAAAATTTGTTGATAAACTTCTTGTACAGAATGGGTATGTCATGCAATTTTTTGTAAATTTTTACCATTTTTTTTTCATTTTAGTAATAATAAGTTTTTTTCTTTTCTTATTTTTAGAATATCTTTCTTAAAATGTACTAAATAAATTTCAAAACCACAAAAAAATCCCCATATCTCCATTTTTTTAAAAAAAAAAGTTGTCACATGTATTCGGATACCTTAATTATCTTCAAATCTTGATGATTAATGTAAATCCTGCGTATGCTTTCTTGGGCATATAGATAATATAAGTTTCAAACATATGGATAACAAACTTTCTGGCTGCAACGTTTTTATTAAAACATTTTTTCGCGTTTCCGATGTTTGACTACTATAACAGGTGAAATAATCTTTTTTTAACAAAGGGAAAGTCTTACGTATTCCATGATATAAAGAAGCTGATTTTTTAGTAATTATTTTTGATGAGTGTATTTCTATTTAAATATATATTAATTTGAATTTTATCATTTATTTTTTCTGTTGTTTTATTTGTAGTTTAACATTATATAAATCAGTTTTGAAAATATAATATATTTTTAATTTTTCTTATTGACCCTCACAGTTACGTGAAATTTGATAATTGTTAAGTTGAATAGAGGATGCGCAATGCCAATGACTCATCTTCTAAGTCCTTTTAAAGTTTATTTTTAATGGTAATCAATTTTTCCCTTTTGGGATTATCTAAGGTCACTCCTTTGCTGGAGTCACTCCTTTGCTGGAGTGACAGGGCGTGAAGAAGTCAAAGCGATTGAATTTAAAGTCTAATAGTCCTGAAATGAAGCATAACAAACACAGAACTTTTTTTACCTCGCATCAGTAAGGCTCCCCTTTCTTATGGTAAACAATTCATTATAATAAGGAAAAACTTGCAAAAAAGGCTATCTTTTGGACTGATTTTCATGAACAAACTCAGCTATATACATGCCCGGGTCATGATCTGCTCTTTGTCAGCTAAAACAATCAGAATTCTTTTCACTTCACTAAACATTGACAAAACAAACCAATCTTTAAATGCGGTCATTATCAGTCCAACTTCAGAAATTGTTTATCATTGAAATGGACAAAAGGATTTTGGGTTGAGTAAATTCATTTGTTTATTCTGGCCATGAATGTACCAGACCATGAATTTGTTTTGCGTTAAATTAATCAAATGCTTAGAGTATTTTCAGTTAACCTGAAATGAAAAACGAATCGAAGGTCACATTTTTTCACAAAACCGCTCTTTCTTTCTCACGGTCTCAGTGAGTGTAACGAATGCTGTTATGTTGAAGATATTTTTTATAAAATTAGAAGAGGAAAACGGTTTTCCGTTTAATTGAATTAACTTGGAACTGTGTGAATAATATTCACTTATACGCCATTAATCTCTTTACGTAATTATGAAAATATACAGTAAAATTCCTGTTTACTTATTATATACTAAAGTTTGACTCAAAAGAATCATAATATACTACTAGCTTCATATTGTACCTGATTGTTGACAAATAGATAGACAAAATTACGGTATTCATTTATTAAATTATTTAAAATATGTTTGAAGATCTGGATCTCAGAATATATGCTGCCAACCATCCAAAATGCAATACCATAAAGGACAAGAAGCATATAAAAAGAGACAACTTCATGATGGTTGCGTTTGAGTTTGGCAATCAGAGGCTAGAACTTGTATGACTCTTGCAGTATGTATCGCAAGACCGGTTCTTCACCTAGTATTATGGTTCAGGCAGCTATTGTATTTTATTCACGTAACTCCCCAAAACGCATTGCCGGTACACTCAAGAACCATCGGTACGTCTCTGAAGTTTTGGAGCCGGATACCGTTTTTTATCTTCAAGGCTTGCCAATAGCTAAGTTGTTTCAATGGGTAAGAGCGAGATCGCCCGTGATACACAGCTTTCAACAATTCTTCACTCTTCCCTCTAGGTTGCATTGTACTGCTGCTTTAACCCACCCATTCTTCAGATGTGTGGACCATCAATCTGTGGTCGAGGATTGGAAAGTCCATGGTTCAGGATATATCATCCACTGCTTCTCAAGATGAACAAAGGCAACACGTGGAAGGCAAAAGGATTGACTTAATCCAAGGGCACACGTCCAAAGTATCTTACTCTTAATGTCGACGAGCGTCACAGTAAATATTACCAGCCACGGCAGCTATGTAAATTACTGATTCTTTTATGTTCCGTTAGATTTTTCAAGATATATTAAGAATTTTCATCCAACTCACAAGAACAATCCCCAATTTGCACGAGTATAAGTCCAAGCCCCCCTCCAAACCGTCTAAAAAACGTACTTTACTAGTTTTTGTGTTCTTCGGTGAGGTTTACTGAAGTAAACTGCGGGAAAGAACAACTCCAGTACTTATAAAAGAGCTTTTTGTTTTTTTAATACAGCAATCGTAGGTAGAGCTGTTAGCACACTTGATTCACAATGCTAATTTTTTTGTACGTTTTATCGAAGACTGCACATGGGGCGAATTTCCTCCCTTTTGGACACTTCGTTGTATAAGCAGAAGTGTGTAATTAGGCAAACGTTTATCCACTTAAACAGTAACCATTTTTATACAATTTTTATTCCGTTCCTAATAACTATGAAAACACAAGATATTTCAAAAAGATTATCCACCTATGCTTATGCACGTATAGAGAGGCAAACGTATTTTTAAATAGAAGCGTGAAAGTTTAGCTCCAATTTATGAATATCGGACGGGAAAAAATAATCGCATTACGTAAAAAAAAAAGTTTAGCAACTTAATCTAAGTATTCGGTTAGAGGTTTATCCTCTTTACAAATAGTATTCATTAGTGCAGTTTTTCTTAATTTTTTTCGATATGTATCAGAGAAAACTCTCTCTCTCTTTCAAAGGACTTACATCAGGGGAAACTACTATTAGGGGAAAACATTGAATTCCAACTTTAATATTCTTTAATTGCAATGCAAATTCCATCCTTATTCATTCGGCAATAAAACAAGTAATATAAAAAAATTAATCAATTCCTACTTGGTCAACAAAGAAAATTTTTATTTTAGTTATTTTTTATTAAATAATTACAATTAATAAAATTATGTACATACATATGACAGAATCACACTATTAAGTGGCAAAATAGAAAGCGATTTTCCTTACAATTTTCCATTTTCCTTTCTATATATGGTGTTGGACTATTATTTTTGTATGTTACTATTTATTCATTAATTAAATTTAATTATTCCAATAAAATGGTACAGTAGAAATGAATCACATTCTCAGAATTTAGGCCATCCCAGGTGGGATTCGAACCCACAACCTTTGGATTAGAAGTCCAACGTACTATCCATTGCATTACAAGAGACACAATAATCGATTTTCCTTTCTATATATGCTGTTGGACTATTATTTTTGTTTGTTACTATTTATTTATTTTTTAATTTAATTAATGAATTAATATTTGAAAAAATGTATTAACATCAAGTGTCATCCACTACAAGTTTAAAAAATGTATTTGAACTTGAGTGGATGAATAAAAAGTATTTTATTAACGATTGATAATTTGAACAAGATATATATATATATATATATATATATATATATATATATATATATATATATAGGGAGAGAGTGCGAACTAATAGAAGAATTCAAAAATCATTACATTATGTTCGAATATTTGAAATTCAATATGAATATTCCTTTAAATGGTTTATCTATTTAAACGTTATCTAGTTCTATAGTTTTATTTCGTTATTAATATCTATGAAAATTTAAGGGATGTGCAAAATGTGTGTGATAGAAATATACCTTATTCCCTCGCATAAAAGGAAAAGTATATATTTAAACTGAAGTGGACACGTTTAACTCCATCTTTATTAATATCTGAAAATAAAATATTATTATATATTGTATTTGAAGATTTTGGAACTTAATGTATTATAATATTATATAAATATTGAATAAAATGGTTTATTCACACACCCATTTAAGCAATATGTTAAGGTGTTAATATTTCTCATATTACAAAGTTTAGCAAAAACTGAAAGAAAGTTTGTAAATTAATATAATATCCATGTGCACAGAGGATCGACTATATCTTTAAACTGAACTGAGAAAGTTGAACTTTGTTTTGATTCATATCAAGAGAAGAAAAATCAATAAAATAATGCATTCGCAATCCTCACAAGGATTAGAACTTGCATTTAAAAAACGTTTTTGGTAAATTAATTTTGTTTTTCAAGATACTTTTTTCATGAATTTGATTAATACCACGTTCATACAGTACAGTCAAATACAGTAAGCGGCATAACAAACTAAGTATCTTGATGCCATTTAGCACAATTACAATGGAAGCTATATCAAATTTATTCACGTCTTAATGTGAATTTCCTCTTATTCCAGAGAATTACTTGTGTTCTCCAACGGATGGATTATATGTGAATTGATTAAAATGCTGTTATCCCGGTGGATAGCGTTAATTTCGCTCCATGCCTACAAGCGCAAAAGCAGTTAATCTTGCTTGTCAGTTAATCAAAATGCGTTTATTTTCTTTGTTCTTTGCTCTTACATTTGATGTCACTAGATTGAGTAGACATTTTTATGATTATGAACTTGATGAGTTTGCCACACCGACAGAGATATTCTAATTTTCTGCTTTGTTAATTAAATTTTGTGTTGTTTTTTCAGTCCCAGCCAGCAGTAAGGAAAAATAAGAAATGATTAAGTTAGAGACACATATGTGTGTCTGTAGAAGACTAAAATTTAGTTGGATGTGGACATCGACATTTTGAGGAATGATTAATTATTTTTGAGTTTTTAAGGCATGAAATTTTTTTCGCTTATTAAAGAAATCTGAAAGATAGTGATGGTTAAATTGGTTTAGTTTTATTGTGCTTGATTATTGTTTTTCTTTCTTATATAATTTGCGCTGTGCTATTGGCAACTGATCGAAATCAAAACCGAAAATTTGTTAAGAAGGGTCAGTGCCTTTCTCAAAGAATTTCAGTGAGACTTGTGTCTATAATAATGTAGCCCGAGGAAAATATGTTAAAAAAAATGCAAAATAATTACCCTTAAGATGACGAAACGATTTCTTATCTGCTGTCAGTGTACTTTTAGACACTAGTATTAGTTCAAAAAACGCCCCTAATCAAACACACATTCAGCCTTTTACTCAAGATCAACTATTTTATACAGGTCTGTAAAATAGATAAATACGCGACGTTGACCTCCCCTCAATAAAGACTAAATCGTAATGAATCCACTACTTTTTTTATATATCCAATTTTTATCTACCTTCATACATCAAGGGATTTTGAAATTCAGTTTGGTATCTCTTTGACTACAGTGATCGAGATACGAACAATCATTGGCTATTACGAGTAATCATTGGTGAATTCGAAGATATATTCTACGTAGAAAATGAAAGAGAGACACCAATTCATCAAATATTTATATATATTCATCAAACACATATATACAAAATTCTATACTCTTTTGTCTTTGTGTATATGTATATCACGTCTTGACAGTTTTCAAGATAACATCTTGATGGATGATACGGAATGCTGTTTTCTTGAAAAGAAGGCAGTCGTCATATATAATTGTGTATTTAATTTATTATGATTATATTCAGGACCAATTTTTTTTGATACTTTAAGCTATGATCGCATAGCGTGAGAAAGATTGTACACTTAATGCAGGACGAGTCATCAGAGAAAGTAAAAAGTGAAAAACGGCTAACATGCTCAAGGTTTTACAATTTCTTGAAAAAGGGGGGGATTCTTGAATTTTTCTGCTAATTCAGCAGATAGTAATTAAACTAGACAGGGCATTAAAAATAAATTATACGATGTAGATTCATCATATATACATATGTAATTCTCAATAGTATAAATATTGTAACACCATGAAGAAAAGCGCGCTAAATGCAAATTTCGAGATCAGTAGAGATGAAAGTCATATAAATGACTCAGTTTATGAGAGCATCTGATCACATGATACCTAGATTTGGCTTTTATGAAAGCCAGAAGCTGTTTCATTTCGTGCATGTCGTCAGTGACGAATTTCAATATTGGAATTATTGAAGGAGCTTAGGCCATACTTCGGAGGCTTCCGAGAACTGAACACCAGTAGTTATCGCCAGCGGATTTTATTTTATTTTTTATTAACGCCGCTCTAAAACAACGTGAGGGCTATAATCGCCTATGAAACGATACCGTAAATCGAAGCCGCATGACCTCAGTTTGTCAATGCATGTCATGTTGAATGAGACGTGTGTATAGTTCAGTGATGTGGGGCAAGAAGGACGCAGGACCTTTGGAGAGCACGTCGGTGAGGCAATGAATTGTACAAATGGACAACAAATCACCCTGACAGGCAAATTCGAAAAATGGTTCGTAGAGACCCATTTTACCACTGTACCTAATGTTCAAAGTCTCCTACCATCAACAGAAGGTGCATCTGTCAACAATTAAACCATCTACAACAGGTTGTTTGAGAGACGGGGCAACCAGCTACTGAAGTTCCTTTAAGCACTTGGTTCAGGGCTTCACCGAGTTCATTGGGAATAAAACTGACTCGCGGAGTCAGTGAAAATACAAATGACATTGGCTACTGTTTTCGGATGAATCCCGATTTTGTTTTTGAAGAAATGATGGCCGTGGATGGGTGTGGAGACTTCCCAGAGAACATCACTTGTCAGCCCATATTGTCGAGTGTACCACAGGTCCCACACCAGGCTTCATGGTTTAGGGTAGCGTGATGTTTAGGCATCTAGGGTGGCATCTGGACATCCGTCCTCCCCGACATCAGCGTCAGTTTAACAATAGATTGGTACGCTACACAAGTTTTTATTCCTGTGCTTCGTTCAGTTGCACCACCGGGACATTATTCCAGCTGTACAATTCTCTGCCTCAAGTCATGCCACAACTCTCGGTAGCCTAAATAGAATTCTTATCCTTCCCTGTTTGCAGCCTCAACCGATCTCTTTCTTATCGAACACGCATGAGTCCTTATCGGACATGAAATGCACCGATCACCATAAGCATACCATAGAGAAATTGAGATCCGAGTGGACTCGGCTTAGCAAGGAAAATCTTAGGATATCGTAAATGGACTCATGCATTACTGTTTAAAGGACGTATGGAACATATTAAGGTATTCGACTACGTTCGGAACCGTGATTTTAAGAAAGCGCATAAATGGATAATTTTCAATGATATTTAGTGTCACTTAGATTAGAATACATGTATAAAATTGTTTTAAGGACATTTCGACAAAAAAAAAATTATTTAAATACAATATTTCGGCAAAAAATTAACTTAGAATAACCTTTTTTTCAAAATATTCTCCTTTTGTGAAAAATGCTTCTATTATAATAATATTTTGTCTGTATATAGCTCAGACCTCTGTACAGAGGCTCAACTATGATTTTTGAAAAATTCACATTATTTTCAGAGTTACAACCAATTGAAATAATTATCGGCGTTTTTCTCTTAAAATCCCTCCCCTCTGTTGTCGTAAAACATGGATAAATCCACTTCTAAGTTATACATTTCAAAAATTCTAGCTGAGCATCTGTACAGAGGTCTGAGTTATATACAGGCAAAATCTCTCTATAAACAGGCGTTTTCTAATCTAAGTGACACTAAGTATCATAAATATTATCCATTTACTCGCTTTTGCAAAATCACGGTTCCGAACGTTGCCGGATACGTTAAATGACGAATAAGCAGTTTTGTACTGCAAACTTGTTTTTTTCCTTAAGGCTTAAATTAGGACCCGAATTTGGAACATTTTTTCAGATATAAAAGAAATGAAAAATTAATATGATATTCTGGCTTCACTATCCTTTAGAGAGCAGCATTTTTTATCATACTTCCCATTTTTAACCGAGTTGATTCATTTTTTCTGGTATAAAATATGTTTCGCATTTTTTATCCTATACCGTAATTTTAAATGGGCTTTGACTTCACGTATTAAAACAAAAAAAAAAAAAAGAAAGTATTCACGTAATATTTTGAAACTTTTAAAAACACTATATTGTTAACAGATGTATGAGTTATAATATTGCAAATTTCCATGGAAATTGGGTCATTTTTCTGTTTGAAAATGTGCTTCGCGTTAGGTTAGAGCTCTCGTACTTATACCGAAGACAGCCATAATCATTTACATAAGAATGTTACTTTTATCGTTCCTGCTATTTTCCCATGGCTACGCACAATCCTTCATGGTGTTGCAATTTTATTTTTGAGGAATTTATATATAATTTCACATAAAATCAGAAAAATCGAATCATAATGTAACTGAGGGTATGTCTTTATCACAACAGGCTGACATTCTTTTTCATTCAAATAGTTCG